ATTTAAATTTTGTGGAATTTTCTTTCTTCGAAATCGAAACGGCTGTGATTTCCAAAATACTGAAAGATAATACAACTAGAACTGAATTGAGTACACTTTTATGTCATATGCCTTAATAATTCAACATTACTAGACCTTAATATATTTATAAATGGCGAATGAAGTTGACTGAAAGTCTTGCTTACGATAGGATGACACATTAAGTTACGTTGACTATCATTCTAGAACATAAATAACTGAGCTAGTGGACTAACTCTAAATCAAATATATTTGGAAAGACTAGAAGAAGCAAGCCAGTAGTATAATAAAACTTGTGAGTCACTTTTCGCTGATTTGCATGACAGTGGTGAAACATCCTGGCTAAAAAGATGTGAAACTGAGACCTAGTAAGAATCTAAATTTCACAGACCAGCCATTTTTGTTCATTTGAAACACGATTTGAAAACAGACATATAAGCCAATATATACTGTTCCGGGAGTAATATAATTAAAACAAGTAAACAAAAAGAAATTTGATGTAATACATCCAGTAGAAAATATTTTGACATTCTGAAACTTAAGCACGCCATGTCAACTCGAAAGATGTCAGAAATCAAATACAGCCACACCGTCATAACCGATTTTCAGTCATTTCACGAACAGTACCCAACCATCATTTAATCACTTTCAGGACCGCGACCAGACAGTCTACTCATCTATACGGGCCTCACACCAACAGTCACAGAATTTATAAATTGGACTCGCGTTTTGACCTGACCACCCATAGTCGTCCTTTGATCCAATCCTAATTCCAATAATACCGTATCAGAGTAGGTGGTTCCACGGCATGCATAACACACTTTGAAGTCACCTTAGTCATTGAAGGTTCACTAGTTCACTAAGTGACTTGCCGATTCGCCTGACCTTGACAATGATCGCATGATTATTCCTCCGCACACCAGCAGTGCTACAAAGACCACTGTGATAAAAGAACTGTCTTCTTTTTTCAGAGGCCGTCTAGCAGCTGTATAGTAGGATAGAGAGGACTGCAGTGAAGTTTACTCATCCTCCAAAGAGTAGTCAACTACCTCACCCGCACCAGGTGTCGAAAGTTGGCGAATTTTAAAAGCCTGTTTTGAATTCTAATCGAGATTTCGTAACTAGACCGTTTGGACCATTGTAACTGCCAAACAAGTGATGTGGTCGACACATTCCACCACCCCACTACCTATCACTAAACTGGGAGTAGTTAAAGACCAGTCTGAAAGTATAGCCTTACATTTGTTCGGTTCGAAACTCATTCCAGACATACAGTTTTCTGTTCGAAGCGTTCAGGAAACTCTTCACTATGTCAGTATTTTAGCCTGACAGGACCATGTCAACTGCATCCTCCAAGTCAACCACATATCCTTCAGAAAGAAAGTCAACCCCCGAGAAGTCAGAGGTACCCAGGGTTATGTCTGTTATTACATCTATAACTAATGTATACGGAAACAGTGACAGTGGACATCACTGGAAAACACCGCCCGTTGTCGATTTATATGAAAACTCTCCAAACGTTCTAACACGCCATGTGAGTTCGAGTAAACAGCTTTGATTAGCGCTATATACTTGCTTGGTAATCCGTTTTTAGTCAGACACTGTCACAATACCTCATGTTAAAACAGCCGAATTGTCATTTTATTATTTGTCGCTTGGGTTTCTAGTGGAACATAGGGCTCCAGTAGCACGCATCCATCGCACTCTCTAACCTACACGTTCTTCAAACTCGCTCCACCACTCCAAACAAAATTTCATTCCTTCCTCACACCATCTCCTCAATATCACCCTCACCTCACACCCAAAAATCCTCCTTTACCCTTCCGATTCCACACAACAGTCTGACGCGTGATGTCACCAATCGGAATACTCAGTGTATCCCAGTCAAATCCATCTCCACTCCACTCTGCATATTTCTTGACTCATGGATGGCTTCTCGGTTGTTTTGTTGACAGCCAGCTAGTCAGCCAGTCAGCCAGCCAGCCAGTCAGAATTCCTTGTTGCTTATTATTACTACTCTGGCCATCTGATCTTCAATGTCAGTATCGAGTGAGAGTAGGCGGCAGCTAGTGATCAATGTCTGTAGATTGTTGGAAATGCTTCCCGTGATGCACAAAGTCTCTCAACCATCACATAGAAGCACTGACTTGACTGACATTGGTGTTGAAAATCCGATGTTGTTCAGGCTTTGTGCTGAGTGCAGTGCAGTGCAGTTCAGTGGAGGGCAGTGGAGTGCAGTGTAGTGCAGTGCAGGGGAGGGCAGTAGATCTCCACACTGATTTCAGATTAATGAAGGTGTGTCTGTCTTCCTGTGTTTCCGATCCTGGTTTTGACATCCTCATATGTGCTGCCACCGCCGTCCGTAGTCGAAAGGATACTGCGTAGGCAGATAGATGAAGGAGACTACTTCGTTTCGATTCCTCTCGTTGATGGTGGCTGGTGCTTGATGTTGTTTTTGGTTGGGTATCTTAATCACCCCTGTCTTCTCTACATTCACCTGAAGCTCCACCTTCCCTGTCTCTTCTGCAAACTTGTTAGTTTTAACCTTTAGATCTTCGAGTTTGTGCTACATTAGACATATATCATCATCGGTCTTTTCATCGAAACAGTCGAATTCCACCTGAATTTTATTTCACTCTACCCAAAATAATCTTGCTGCGTCCTTAAGATCTTTCAGTAGCAGACCATTATGTCCTGCGAATTTGCATATTTTCAGCTTTTGAACAGCCTATTCAACTATGAAAAGAGTGCCACAACCAGGGTCTACATCTGATTAGGTTAGCAGTAAATGCTGTACAACTAAGGCCTAGGTGTGGGCAAACTGAACTGCTCTGTACTGCTTCCATTTTACTGTTCTGGCTACCTTTCTTGATAGGTTGTCGGGACCCTATTCTTTTTAATGACTATTTGATTATTCATCGTCTTTTTTTGTTAATATCCTCAATAATCCTAGATAATTGTCGGATACTGCCTAATGCTGACTGTTTCTTTATATATTTCGCTTTCAACAAGAAACACTGCTCACGATCACAGTAAAAACTCGTAGTCCATTAGCACTTCAGCTATTTTCTACTTTCACTGAAGTAAGAAATTATGTGAATACGCCTTCTCGCATCAGCCATTTCCGAAGAAGTTAAGGAAAATGAATCTTTAGACCTCTAATATGAGTTTTGTCATAACCCTGGCTTTTCGGTAACTTTATCCAACCTTTACAAAGATCAACCTGAAAAAAGACTACTTCAGAAAGCTAGATTAACAATTTTCAGCTACCCGAAAATTCGAAAACATGCTGCATAATATCAGACCAGAATACAGTGACCCAGTATTTTCATGTTATTACACCACAAGGAACATAACAAAAGAGAAAATCGACAAAAGCAACGGGAAAACTGGGGAGAATAATTGGCTGAGAGATAGGATGTTTAAAACAAAAAGATAGATAAGCAGTGGATGCATCATTTTCATTGATATCATCTTCAAATACTTCCATCTGAGATTTGAAAAGCCATTCTCAAGGATTATAACAAGACTAGTTAGTCTAAAGTGTCATGCATAACTGAACTGGTGTGGCATATTGTTTCGGCAGCTCAGAGACTTTATGAACTCTTTTTCAACCTAAATCCATATCACATGTCAAAGCTGTCTTCAAAAGCCAGATCATTACTTGCTAGGTCACCAGTTTTAGGAAACGGGTAAATGAGAAGTATTTAATAAACTCCTTATTCACGTAAGAGCAGACTTGTACACTATGGTAGTACAGAACTTCATATTGCTTCGGCTGTTAGATATTTCCCATAGTGAAGTAGTATCATTTACTGGATAACAGTAAAGCATACTGTTTCACTGTGCCCGGTGCTGTATCGACTGAGCTATTGCCAGAAACCCGCTGGTCGATGGTTCGAATCCGGCCGTGGTCCAGACTTTCATTTCACATTCAATCATAACTTAGTATCATTACTAGTCTGCCAAACCAAAGCTATCTCAGATACTCAAAATGATACTTATAAAAATTTTTTAATATATTTAACTTTTTCTATCTAGGTAATAAGTCTTAACCTGTCTGACTGAAATTGTTTTACTTGGTTATTAAACAAGTTGTTAGTGATACATGAGATGCATTTTTCCATATACTGAGATATTGGCTGCGTTATGTTGTTGATAAAAGAAAAGTACTCAAGTATATTCGACAATTCAGTGGAACAAATAACCAGGCATTTTTGAAATATCTATCATGAAATAATTAAAAATACCATAAGACTATAACTTTAATATCGGCTGAAAGATAGGAAACACGAATCTCAGATAAGTATAATTGGTAGAATTATTTTACTTACTTACTTATTGAGTGCTAGAAGCTAATAAACAGAATTACGTACTTTGGACAAATATTACTAGTCACAGAAGTGACGTATATTTCACTGCTGCGGGAACATCTTTGGAATAAGGTTTGCTAATTGTTTGAGATTGCACACAGATTACGATCGGGAAGAAAAGAATCATCCGGAGTTGCAACAATAATAATGTGAACTTTAGAAAATAGATTGCCTAAGGAAATTCTATGAACCAGTAAGTTACTCATATTGACTAACTGAGAAACAAAATGTGTTGAGCATAGTGAGTTCATTTCAATAGAAAAGAAACACCTAAAGTTTACTTTGTAATGCAAAGTTCAGTTGAGTGATACTGCATTTAGAAAGGTAAGTTGTTTTTAGGTGGGATACGAATGCATTGAAAAAATAACAGTATACTGCATATCTATAAATAAAATAACAATATAATTACCACGATGGTGACCAGCTAACCCATTTGTTTATAAATGTTAGAACAACCTGGAGGAGCAGACTATTAAAGAAACTGGATGAGGTTTTTAAGTTCAATGTTAAAAACACCAAAAATGTTAAGTATCAATCAGTATATAATAAATTTCTTCCGAAACATATAAGGTGATTCTAATACTGTTCGCAAACAATAGCCCAACTTACTTTCAACAGAACTTCTTGTAATTCTAACTCCGTCTGAGCTAATTTCTCATTTACTTGCATTCTATCTTCTTCGCTCAAAAGCCAAGCTTTTGATAATTTCACTCGTTCATCAGTGGCATGTGTAAGTTCCACTTGAGTTTTTTCAAGCCTTTCAGATAATTCATGAACATGTTCCTTTAATCTAAGCTAGAAATCAACGGCACTGAATACAGAGATTTTTATTCCAAATAAAGCAAGCTACTTAAACATAACAAGTAGCTCATATCTTTAGGCAGAAAAAGTTAGTCTGACAGTAATTTTCACTGTTGTTCAGGCAGAATATTTCACAGTAGAGAGGAAGTGGAACTTTCACTGCATAACTCAAGTCTCAAGTCCACCGTAAGATTAAAAGTCGAATAATAATGTAAATCAAACAGTAACTTGTTTTTGGTTACTAACAACCATATGTTTTGATGAAATTCATGTAATTTAACTCATTTTATTTTCTTCAGATTTAGAGCCTAGATTCGTTTGTTAAACATTGGCTAATAGTGAATACTGTCTTAATTACATAAGATTCAAGTAACTGAATTTTATTTTCTCAACAAAGTTGATCACTCACGATTTAGTCGTCTCAAGACAAAAAGCCGACTGAAATAGTACTAAATTACAGAAGTTATGAAGTCTAGCCCTCAGCATATGTGGTTAGTTGATGAACCCAACTTGATGCAGATAACCAAGAATACTAATTAACTGAAAGTGTAGGCAGTTACGAGAAGTCAAAAACATCTTTACAATGATTCGCTGAGGGAGAAGCAAACATTGTAAAATATTGCTAACAGCAGAAGAAACTCCTATTTCATTTTTGAAGTTCAGAATAAACTGTTTGCCTTGAGGTTATCGCTTAACCCCCAACTGACTACCAATTATCAATGAGTAGTTCGTAGTCATCTTATTTCGAAGTAATCATCCGAATATAACTTACAGCTTTCTTCAAGATATTTATGCATTCAGTTTTTGCTGAGCGGATATCTTTTGTAACACACTTTCAGGTAAATATTGGAATGTTTCAAAGAAATGAGCACACTGTTATCATATTCATGTGCGAATATACTCTTTCCTACTCTGTATTCTAAATGTCAACAACATATCTTCACCACGGGGCACAAATGGTTTTTGGGAAGCGACTGATACTAAAAGGTTTCAGAAAATATGATTAAGTGGTTGTGGATAAGAGCATATTTCCGACAAAGCAGTAGGATAACTTCTTTCACTACCATAAACAGCCTCGTGAAATCATGAAATAAGAAAATGAGTAGCTCAAATATCTTCTCATATTTTTTGACAGATAATGTGGTTCTTGATAAATTTTAATCAATCAACTAAAAAACACCAAGAATAGGTATTGCGTTGTGACAGAAAGCTTATCTTGAGATCTATCAAAGGATGTAGAAATATGAAGTTATTTGTATGACATTTGTAGGGTACTTCAATACTCTTTCAAATTACACTTTAATAAATGAAAAAGGGAGGCTGAAAATCAACTTGAGAGGCATTGCGTAGTTGATACTTGAGGTTCTTTAATAGCCTACATAATTTTCTGCAAAAATTTCATGACTAAGATCTCATACTTTTCAATGGCTACTGGTAATGATCAGGAAAAGGTTACTATTTAGTGTGTATGGTCACATTGTCCACGTGAAAACTCATGGACACGTTAACACCGTAACAATGCTTCTGACCACTACACTGTACAGAACTATTTATGATTTTGGATGCATAGAGTTTCTCAAAGTTGCACTTGTCTTGTTTACATTTACAATTTCCTGAAGATACTTTCAAAACCTCTTATGCCACCTTTGGCGCAGTGCTGATAATTCCAGTGGGTGTATCATAGTATCTCCTAGAGTTCGGTGTACAGTGAGGATCGAAGCATGCTACAGTTTGCCATCAACAAACCATTCCTTTTTCTCCGAAATTCAACGGAATAACTCAACTAAGTTTGGACTTCTTTTCTTATCAGAATTAACCATTGATTACCTGAGGTATATAGCACTCTTTTTCACCTCAAAACCTTATATAATAAACGGGAAAACAGAATGAACAGCAAATCTTTAACTTACAAAAGGAGGATCAGCATTCTGTATAGTGTTATCATTGTGCTCCAAATTCGTTCTAATTCCACCTGCTTGTTCGAAAATAGTTTGCTCTAATAAACGCTGAGTTTCTCGTGCTTTTGCTGCCAGTAGCAAGGCGCAATCATCGTTCATAACTGGAGCATTCGTAATGTGTGTAAGTTGTGAAGTGAACCTCAATAAGAGTGTGTATGTTTCAGAATTCGGATTAGACGATAAACAAAGAATTATTCTAGTGTAGCAATTTCCGCCGATCTCATCATATAACAGTTTAGTCAACTTAGAAGCGCTGAAAGACACCAAAGATTGGTGATTTAAATAATGTGCGGATTTTTAGAACCTTATAAGTACTTAATGATAAAAATACTGAGTATTAACAAATGACGAATCTTGGCTTAGTTATCTAGGCATTAACTTTTGAAATGTGAGATATCTAAAAGTCATGCATGGCTTCAGTGATTCAAGTCTGAACGAACACCTATTACTGTCCACTGCAACATGGGTAATATGTGTGGAAGCCGTTGAAAATGGTCGGTAAGTTGCGTTCGCTTTCTCGTTCATGCTTACAGTCATAAAATATTTTTTTCAAATTTTTTTAATATTTCTAATTTCTGCTGCCGAAGGGATTATCTATAGACAAACTAACCAAAGTTAACAATGATGTGAGTCTTATTTTATTTCCAAATGTCTGAATAAGACTGTGTGATAAATCTATTTTGGAAAACCATAATCGCAGTACATTTGACTGCGCTTGGTGTTTGCTCTTATCTTGAGGATACAGTAAGCAAGTTTGAACATACATCCTAAAAATGATGATTTATTAAAAAGGATTAAAATAATAAAAGTTAGCAGTATTTAAAACAGGTCCTAAGTGTCGTTTATTATCTTCCATCTGACACACCCTGTTGTCCACCCAGACAGAAAATAGTACCTGAGCTGACTTCTTCATTACACTGAAACTCATCAAATTATTAGAGATGACTGGCTAACAGATTTTGCATAGAATCGCATCAGCTTAGGTTGTCAGGCTTCAAAGAAACATGGGAAGAACAAACGCACAGAGAAGGAACTATATCAAAGAAGACATAATTGCATTGAAGGACAAAGAATTGAAAAATGAAGTTTAGGGAAAATATTAAAGCTTCAGAAAACGTCAAAGAGCGAATACATCTGTGTCGTTGTAACAGATTATTAGCCATGTCACCAGTAGTCCGCAACCATCAATCCCTGTGGTCTTTAGGAACCAATCCATGCAGTCCACGTCTAACTACACAGCTCTGTCATCCCAGGTTTCTTAACCAACCAATGCAACACATGTTCGAGCCATCTACGTCTATAAAGGTCCACAACCTCGTTTACTGACTTATCTGCCTTTTCTAATACTCTACAATTAACTCTCACTTTGCTGACATAAGAATTTCATTATACGCCAGCAATGCTACGAAGACATCTGTTTTCGAAAACCAATAATCTGTTCATATTTTTGTTTTCATTCACCATATCTTATAGCTGTACTAGAGGGTAAAGTGAACTGCACCACGCTATACTTGCCCTTTAACAGGTATCTTGCCAGCCGATAACATAGAAAATGCAAGCTGACAAATGAAAAACGAACTTTCCGCATTCGAGATGAGATTTTGTCACGAAACGGATGGTTTGAACTTTTGAAACCTTTTGAATAAGTGAAGAGTCCAAAGCATTCCACAACCACAATCTCCCTTCTTACAGTACTAGTCTCTGCAGACCAGTCTTGTAGCATCATCTTACACATGACAGGTGCAAAATTCATACTAAACACACACACCTCGACTGGAGATTTTCAGAGGACCCTGCATTTTGTAAGTGTATCCGCCTAACAGGACAACATTGTCGGACTCCAAGTTAGCCACCTGCCCTACAGGGGACACTTCAACCCCGAAGAAGTCAAAAATACCTAATGTTATGTCCATTAATACATCTATAACGAAGGTAGACAGGAGAAATGACAGTGTAAGATATGAAAAAGACTGAGACGCCGGACAGAATGTTTATTATGACGTCTTGTGCAGTACTGATGAAATGTTTTACACTTCCCACTAAATAATTCATTTGGACAATGTGTTTCATTTCCTCTTCAGCTTCTGTCTGGACCTGATTACCCACGTTACCTCTTGCGTTTCTCTGGGCAGAAAATTTACCCATTGCTGGCAATTGCCTTTGATTTCTGCTGGCCTCCCAATGTATACTACTTATATCCATTCTCATCAGCAACACCCACTGCAACAGTAGACAATCCTGGTGGATACCACAGTTGTCATCAATTCAGGTGGCAAATCTTCACTGGCTGTTACATGACTGTGTGAGTTCGAGTACAGGGATTGGTAAGCGCAATGTACTTCCTCGGTACTACGTCTACACCCATACACTGCAGTAACATCTTACGGCTGACAGGATCAAACGCTGCCTTCAAGTCAAGAAATATGGCACTTCGGCTGCCGTTAGGTATGTCTGCGTATGTGTGAAGATTTGATCAATCCACCCTTATCCTGGTCTGAAATCTACCCGTTTATTAAATTTAGCTCTTTACGGACTCCGGTTGGGCGTCGGGTACCTGTGAACTCAGAAATCTTGGACAAGGTATTAGTTAAACTCATTTCCTACGGTTGTCACAAAAAGACTTTTTTCCTGACTTGTAGACAGAAATAGTCAAAGTAAGGGCTATCTCTCTTTCTCATGCACTAGCTAGTATTTTATTTAGCTCTACTGAGAAACTTTCTAACCCCATCTTTAAAATATTCTATCAGCAAGCCAGCGAATACTGGTACCTACCGTCCTTTTAGGTTTAAAACAACCGTCTCAACTAACATCCACATCTTGTTCATTTTCGGGTGAGATGCTTGGCAGCTGAAGCGTTTCTGCTGAACTGCGCATCAGTGTTCCGGTTAGCGTTCTGGCCGTCTCTCCTCAGTTGTCATCAGGGCCCCACCATTTCTTCCGATGCTTTTACTAACCACAATCTTCTTTCCACAGTATCTTCAGTGTACCTAAATGATTGTCTTTACCACTCTCCCCTTTGCCGCCCACTGCTGCTTGCGTTCTTTGACAAGCTTCTCAGTCAACTTACGCTTGAGCTCCTTTTACCGTTCATATTCATGGGAGGCGGTTGGATCAGTCTTTCCGTCTCAAATGGTTCAGATAAGATGAAAGGATGGCGACGGCATCACGATAATTTCCCTGTTTGCAGCTGGTAACTTAGACAGTTCTTGTGGCTCACCTTCCTGAGTTAATATTGAAGACATGTATTCATAGAGAGCCACTGTTTCAAATTGCTGCCACAAAACACAATAAAGGCCCCTGAAGTGGGAAAAGTTTTTTTCAAATTAGATTGGCAGGCGTTTCTGTGTAGGCCCAGGTTGGAAAATGTTAAAGAAAGACCAAGGTTTTCATTCAGATGTTGAACTTACCATACAAACAACTATTAACGATTTCAAGTCAGTATGTTAGAAATGGTCAATACAGAAAGTTGTTTTGGCAACAACATTTTGACTCTTACCCTCAGAATTTAAATGCTTTCAGTGACCAGCGGAAAGGTATACTGTTATCTGCAGACTTCAACACTCTGCCCCAAAGCATTTATAAAATGAATACTTTATCTACAGTTGTCTTCGTAACTTGAAATTTGATCTTCCAATACTGTTTTATAACTTTAAGGTTGTAATTATGACAGCAAACCAACCTATGATGCAATAACTAAAGCAGACTAAACTGAAGTCTACTCCTACAGACTTAGACTGTATCCCTAATGCAACAGCATCACAATAAAGCCAATAACTACAGTCTTAAGACAAACCAGTCTGCAACAACTTGTGTAACTACGAACATGAATTTTGAAATTCATTTTCTCTCACCATATAGATCTTGAAAAAAATTCAGATATATACAGGTCTAGACGCTTTAAAACGCAACACAATGATATCATGCGAAGAAATATTACCTGTAATTTGGAAGGTTTCTAACTCCTGGCTTCCCAGATGCTAACAGGAAGGTTAGGTTGTACAGTGTAAGTAAATCACTGTTTCCAAACTCAGTCTCATTTCTCATATCCTGAGAAAGCTGCTCAAATCCAGTTAAACAGACAACAGTAAATTTGCTTCGAAATGACGCACCGTCACGCAACTTCTCTCCCTGTCAGTTTTAGAAAAATAAATAACTAAAAAATACATTGAGATTAACACGAAAGAAGAAACCAGCTGGTATATCTTCAAAGTCTTGGTTTGTTTTGCATATCCTGCTGAAGTAGTTTTTTTAGCACTTGTGTACATACGTTTTCAGCTGTTCTAAATGAATCTATGCAAGTCTCTTGAAGAACCTCATAAATTAAGTAACATCGATATTTATGAAATTATTACTTCAATTTGATATCCTTCATTAATGGTGAAGATCATTCTCAGAGGGTCAAGTGTGGGGCCAAAGCCCCTAACCATATCCAAAATTCCATCACTTCCTATTAAAAAGGAATGAACTGACAAGGCTTCTTTTTGTAGGTTAAGGCTGAGCTCATCTTCTACATATACTAAATGAATAAAACGACCACTACCATTAGATATGTTACGGAATATCTCCAACATTAACAACTTTAAAATACCATCTCCATCTAAGCGTGACCCACTCAACAGCATATTCAGCCCCGAGTTGCTTCTCCATAGCATAATATACATGCGTTGTATCCACTAAGAAATGCAGCAACTAGAGACTTCAAGTGCTTTTCAAACATCTGTAGATTCGTGGTTTCAGAATGCAGTATTCCAAGAAACCTGAAATAAAAGCCACCAAAATAAACTTTTAGAATGCTGAAGAGCAGTTTTAAAATCAGACAACAATTCAGATAGATTTCGATAGGCCATATGTTGTAAAACTAATGAACATAAAACGGAAACCAAGCCAGCATTTACTTCAAGCTCACTTTGTAAGTCTTTGACAAAAGTCCAAAAGTTTCACCTCGAGCTAAGGTAGAAGGATGCAAACGATCTTGTGCGGGTGAAACCGTCAGTAAGTCAGGTCAAAATGCAAGCCTATTTGATGAACACGAGACAAACCGAATGAAATATAGGGACAAAAACAGTGCAAGAGAAAATCTGTGAAAATGCTACAGAATGCCTCGTTTTTCGTCCAATATTCAGTGGAATTTTTATCCTTGACTTTCCGTTAGATCTCACGGAAATATTGGCTTAGGGAACTGGTTGGAACAGTGATACATTTATAAGAAACCTTGTCTAAGAAGATATAACCAACCTGCATGACGTTCCATCTATGTCACTGGACAGTGTCTGATTGTTTGAACATCTTATGGTGGAGCCATATCCTGTGGAAGTGAATTTACAGATAGCATCAATATTCATACAAAGACCTTGAGTTTAAATTAGTACTAGCAGTTGTCATGGTGACTCCAATATTCAATTTCCTCTCATGCTCTAGTCTAAACCAATTATTTTCTTCCCACTCCATTTCAGGTCTTCAGTGCATTCCAATGCAGTGGGTCCACCCACCAAACTGCTGTTAGGAGAAGCAGACAATACACAACTTACGTCAGGGGTGATTGGTGTAGGTTTTGAAGTGTGTCAGTACTTTTACCACTTCGGTGAAATATCTGAGGAAAGATGTTATCCATCCCAATAGTGGATGCCTGATTCCTACAGTATTTAACTGACATATTAACAGCAATTCATCAACTGTGTCGAATGCCTTTGAAATATCTAGATAAAGCACAAGAATTATTTTTTAGGATTTGTCCTGGTGCGAACTTGACAGACGCAAAGACCAATCACTAATTATTCGAACTTGTTATATACCCACGAATACGAGACCAAGGAAGAACACGATAGCGTAGTCGGATGGAATAGTATATTTGGATGGTTATGCCAAAATACCGATGCGTTCCAACTAACTGGCTAGAGAGTCGAATACGAGCAATGCAACGTAACACGACAGCGTGCCAAATGGCGAGGATGCTTGACCGGATGCCTTCAGCTTAGCGAGTCCAGTTAAACTATCAAGGTCAGCATCAATGTCGAAGTCGTCAAACCCTAGGCTATTGATTTTGGGGAAGTGTATGACGCTACAGATCACTCCCCCCCTAGTGGGTTCGTGAGGACCCTAAGACGATACCAGCCGGAAGTAAAAACCCAGTGGTTTCTCCACTGGTAAAACTCTCCGATGGGCTCACTGCGTGAGGTGGCCCCTGGTTGTCTGAACCTTATTCTAGGGTGTCGTGGCGATTAAATAAATAAAATACAATAAATGAAATTGTACGTCGGTCGCGGTCATCTGTTCCTTTCGACGTTCCGTCCAGTGCTCGTTGCACCTGGAATATAAATAAAAGTCTTTAATACCACGAAAACGTTGCGTAAAAATGGGAATTATTTATATATAAACGTGTCGAAAAAGAAAAATTTACGCTTATCTTCGCCGTTTTTTTAGTTTTTATTACATGGTAAATAAAAATTGATATAAAAAGGCAAAGTGTACGAGGGTTTGTGCCGGTAAATAAGAAAAATAGTGCCTCGAAAAAAAATGGTTGGCACACACATAGCTAAGTTGAATATGACTTCAGGTACTCTGGGAACCTGACGGTTCGACCTGATCGTGTTTTTTGTTGCGCCGCTGGTTGTTGCAGCTGTGCATTACCAGGCACATCGTCGAGAATTTCGATAATTGAGTCATCCGTCGGCCGGATGTAGCGAGCTGAAACGTCACTTACAATGGGGTTGCCTTCGAAATAAGCTGGTTTCAAACGGTCGATACTGACAGTATCTTCGCGTCCGCCTCGCTCAATTACATAGAATTTCTCATGTCGCTTAATCACTTTGAACGGCCCGTCGTAGGGTGGTTCAAGTGGTCGACGAACAGCGTCGTGGCGAACAAACACGTGTGATGTCTTCTGTAAACTGGGGTGGACGAAAACATCAGTCGTTTGCGGTCTAATCGGAGAAGGCCTAACTGAACGCATTGCGTTTGTAAGCCTAGTCACATAAGATGCCCTATCGGAAACATGTTTGAAAGTTGAAGGGGAAACAAACTCACCTGGTAGGCGAAGAGTGGTCCCATAGACGAGTTCTGCAGGAGTGCATCCAGCATCAACTTTCAACGCGTTACGAATACCTAGTAGGACTAGAGGCAGAGCCTCGGTCCACTGAGGTATGTTTGTAGCTGAAAGGGAAGCTTTCAGCTGTCGATGGAAACGCTCTACCATGCCATTTGCTTGTGGATGGTAGGCTGTCGTTCGGAACCGAGTGCAACCTAAAAGTGCCGTTAGAGCGTGAAATAGTCCGCACTCAAATTGGCGCCCACGGTCGGTTGTGACGTAGGATGGACATCCGAAGTTCGCGATCCATCTTTCGACGAAAACACGAGCAACTGTTTCGGCAGTAATATCTTTAATGGGTACTGCTTCCGGCCATCGTGTGAAACGATCAACACAGGTGAAAAGGTAGGTACATCCATTAGATTCTGGTAGGGGTCCTACAATATCTATATGGACGTGGTCGAAACGCATGTCTGGGGCTAGAAATGAGCCTAAAGGGCTTTTCGTGTGTCGCGTGACTTTACACTTTTGACAAGCTAAGCACGACTGGGCCCACTCCTTAACGTCTTTGTTCATCCCAGGCCAGCAGAAACGTTGTGCGATAAGCCTAATGGTGGCTCGTACACCTGGATGAGAGAGTTTGTGCAACGTATTGAAGACGTTGCGTCGACAACTCTTCGGAACTATTGGGCGTGGTTGACTAGCAGAGACATCGCACAAAATTGCATCCTTGTCTGATCCAACAGGACAAAGTCGCAGTTTGAGAGTTGTGGACGACAACTCATGATGCAGCTCAAGGTCTTCCTTTTGACGCCGAGCTAGTTCAACGAGATCAATACCCTCGATATAGTTTATCGAAGCTATTCGAGATAGTGCGTCGGCTGCGGAGTTGTTTGCTCCAGAAATGTGGCGGATGTCTGACGTGAACTGGGAAATGTAATCCAGCTGTCGCGACTCACGAGGGGAGTATTTGTCAGACGCCGAGCTGAGGGAAAAGGTTAACGGTTTGTGGTCTGTGAAAATAATGAAATCACGACCTTCCACAGAATGTCGAAAATGGCGTACAGAACAGTACATGGCTAGGAGTTCCCTACCAAATGTACTGTATCTTGTTTCCGCGTCTTGCAGCCGCCTCGAGAAAAAGGCTAACGGTTGCCACTGGTTGTCAGTCAACTGTTGCAAAACTGCTCCAATTGCTGAATCAGATGCATCAACAGCAATACTCAGAGGAGCATTGGGGTCATGATGCATAAGCATGGTTGCGTTCGAAATGGCTTCCTTGACTTTGGAGAAAGCAAGTCTAGCCGCGTTGTCCAGAGACACGAACTTCGCAGTTCCTCGAAGTAGATCTGTGAGTGGTCTCATGACAGAGGCACAGTTAGGGATAAACCTTCGGTAATAACTTACCAGGCCATTGAAAGTGCGGAGATGTTTCACAGTGGTCGGCTCTGGATAGTTTGTGATAGCCGCCACTTTATCTCTCAATGGGCGTATACCTTTGTTGTCAATGGTATGCCCAAGGAAGCTGAGTGATTCAACTCCTATTTCACACTTCTGTAAGTTAACTGTGATGCCATGTTTTTTGAGTCTTTCGAATGCGAGGTCCAAATGTTTAAGGTGTGTTTCCTTATCTGGACTCGCAATTAGACAGTCATCTATGTAGACATGAACAAAATTCAGACCACGGAAGACGTCGTCCATAAAGCGTTGGAATGTTTGTGCTGCATTCCGAAGACCAAAAGGCATGCGCAGGAATTCAAACAGGCCAAAAGGAGTAATAATGGCTGTTTTCGCGATATCTTCTGCTGCCATAGGTATCTGGTTGTACGCTTTGACTAAGTCGATTTTCGAGAAAATGTTCATGCCGCATAAGGTTGCGGTCAAGTCGTAAACGTGGGGTATAGGGTAGCAGTCCGGAGTTGTTTTGGCGTTAAGCCTTCGGTAATCACCGGTCGGACGCCAGTCGTTGCTATCCTTTTTGGGCACCATGTGCAATGGCGATGCCCAAGGACTGTTCGACGGTCTGATAATGCCCAGTTCGAGCATATGGTCGAATTCATTTTTCGCCGTTTGCAGCTTATCGGGGGCTAAACGGCGAGCTTTGGATGCCACAGGTGGACCTGTGGTTGTGACGTGATGCATAACATTGCTGGTTATGCACGGAAGAGTGTGTTTCGGTTGTTGTAACTCTGGATATTTCTCCAGAACTGCCTGGTAGGACGCGTCGCCTGATTGTTTAGTCCTAACGATGGCTAAACTCGGACCTACATAGGTGGTGCCGCCAATAGATAACTTTGTGTTGTTATCTATCAGTCGTCGACGGCGAGCATCTACGAGTAGATCGTAATGGTTCAGCAAATCTATGCCAATGATGGGCATAGAGACGTCTGCCAGGAGGAAAATCCAGTGAATAGGTTTGCGTAAACCTAAGTTGAGGTAGGCATACCGTCTCCCGAATGTCGCGATTGCCTTGCCGTTGGCTGCTTGAAGATTGAAGGATGGGTCGAGATGACGCTCCTTTGTCGTTGCTGGAAGAACGCTAACTTCTGCGCCGGTGTCGACGAGGTAGCGGACTTTCGTTTTAATGTCGGTGACGTAGAGCAAACGGCTTTTTCCGCCGGCTACGGTTGCCGTGAGCACGTGCCGGCGTGACCGTTTCCCGAGTTTGTGTCCTTCTTAAAACGGCATGGTTTACGACATTTTCTGGCTTCATCCCCGTAAGTGTTATGAAACCAGCACCATTCAGGGTTTTCCACCCTGTTGGGTTTCGTTTTAGGGCTACCACGCGACTTGCTGCGATGCGCCAAGGTGCGTTTCTGTGAAGTGCTACGTGATCTAGGACTTCGAGATCGTAGCAACCGTTTCACAGAGTTGCACAACTTGGTCACCTCCGAATCCTGGCGCTCTGTTTTGTCACAGATAGAATATACGTTGGAGACGGGTCTGCTGGATATCTCCAGTATTTTATCTGCTGAGGCTGCCAGGTCGTCGAGTGGGACTGACTGGAGTGTCACCAACACGGTTTGCACCGGTTGTGGTAGTTTCGAGAGAAATAGTTCTCGGAAGAAACCATCGTCAAATGTTCGTGCACCGATTACTTCTCGCATGCGTGCGAGGACTTCAGTAGCTGAGTGGCTGCCTAGCTCGATGTTACGAAGCAATTCGTCTAGACGTTGGCGATCTGTGAGATCGCTTTTCTTCAAGAGTGCGGCCTTTAGAAGTGCATAAGGGTCACTTACTTCAGGATTAAACATGTTTGCTGTAACAACCTGTTTAATTCTCGCGGTAGTGAACGTATGACAGCAAGAAATCGAGATG